ATACATGATGTTATGCTGTTTTTTTAAGAAAGTGACAAACTGAATCAGGGATATGATGAAAGTATTCTAACCTTGGAAAGACGAGTAACCCGTCAACACTGAAATGAATACACGCTGTCAGTCCTAGTTTTATTTAGGGCTAAGATGTGTCTTCTGTCACAGAGAAAGACAACTCCAGCTACTTCGCGTTCCAAATAGGGTTGTTTTAATCCATTATGAATGCAGCTGGGGGGGGGGAAGGTAAATAGTAATTAACAAGGCATGAATGAGTTCCCATGTTGATATAGGAGACAGGGAAGCAGATAGGTAACAGCAGCACTCAGTTTGACAAGTCTTCCTCAGCTGGGTACCCTCTCAATGTTCAGATTACAATTCCTGAGCTCCCTAGACATTGGTTGTTCCTTCTAGATGAGGTGCAGTGCAAAATGAATTGTGTTGAGGTCAGTTTTCAACTAGAAATATTAGAGGTTGCAGAGGCTGGGGAGGAGCCATGTCCTCATGGGAAGAAATCTTTCCTCACTGCTCCTCCCATTTCCTGACCTTCAGCTGCTCCAGCAGGTCCTGTAAGAGGAATGCTGCTTTGAAGCTCTCCCTGTAGCAACTCAAGCAAAGGGAGCAAGGTTGCAGTTGATAAGATTTTGTCACTTTCCCTCTTCTCGTTGACAAGAGTAAATCAAGTGAAAAGACTATGCTGGTTCAGTTTTGTCTCTTTCTTTGCTGTTGAGTAGGAATGAGATGATTTGTTGATTGGTTTAACTACGGGACCTGCAGTAGCTCAGAGCAGGACAGTGGTTTTAATTGCCTGTTCTCAGAATTTCTGAGCCAGCAAAAATGAAGACGAATGTGGATTGACCTCCTACTGATTTTGATGGTCTGGGGAGTGGAAATATTGGCAGTGCCCCAATTCTTCTATTGAAATGAAATGTACTTCCTTTCCTTCCCTTTCTTTTTTTGCTTGATAAGGAACTTAACTACTAGAAAATAAATGGAGCTCACATACAAATGATAGCAAAGCCCACTGAAATATGGAAAAGGTTCAGCTCGGTTGATCAGAAAAAGAAATCAAGTATGCCTATTAGTCACCTGGCAATCCCAATTAGACAGAAAACAGGGATTTCACGTGACTTGAATGGGGACCCTTCAGGCAGAGATTAGAAATCTTTAGAGGGTGTGCCACCTTCCAGATAACCCCCAAATCTTGCAAGATCCCCAAAGCTCATGACATGTTAGCATTCTCCCACGAAGTGACATCACTTAACACCCGAGAGATTTAAGTGATCTCACCTCATGGGAAAATACTAAAATCCTGTGAAATGTGGTGATCTTGCAAGATTTCAGTCACTTAAAAAAAAAAATGGAATTAACATTTCAAATTTACTTTAACCTTGGAGAACCCCAAGTTCCAGTTTGGGGGATGAGGGACTCCAGGTGCTGTATTGCTAATCCCTACTTTTCTAAAACTGAAATAGCATGGTAAGCATGTAGATTTGCATACAAAATACCCACAACATCTCTGTCGCCATGATGGGGACAGGAAACGAAGAGAAATATACACCAAGAACAGAGCTGCACCCCAAAATGCATACCAGTGGAACTGGAAAGAAAATTTTTCATTGTCCAGTGTTTTATTCAGGTTGTCACTTGCTTGCTGCACCCTTTTTCATGAGAATTTATTCCACTGTCCTGTCCTGGGTTATCCCTCCAGGCATCCTCTCACTGCCACTAAATACGCTCTATCATGATTAGACTGTTTTGGGGAGAAGGGAAGATGCTTTCTGAATTGTCAATATCTTAGCTAGTACAAGGAGTGGTAGGGAAGTTTTCAACAGAAACTCTTTTATATTTTCCCAAAGAGAAGTAGAATATATTACCAAAATAAGCAAGGTGATGCAAAAGTTATAGGACTGAGATAATACATGCTACACCAGAATCTTTTCTGCTTCATAAAAGGCCAGCATTCCTTCTGCACAGCAATTTAATGAGCATATTCATGAGAACAAGTAAAGTTAGGTTACAGTCACAAATCTTTTAAACAAAGAGAGATTTACTCAACTTTGATTTATCTTCCTGACTTCATCTTTGCTTTCTCCTGATTTATCCTACAGAAGATCAGCATCTTTTCAATCACTTCGCCATTTAAGTTGTAGTATTGATTGGCCTTTTTTTTCCCCCCCCTGACAGCTCATGAAATATATACAGCTAGTTCAGAGGATGCATTTCTATAACATTTTGCAAAAGTCTCACTGTAGGAAGGTGCTTTCTTCTGCAAGTCACCCGAAAACAAGGGGGGGGGGGAAATGCAAACAAAGAAGTAGAGGCGGGTGCTTATGAAACACAGGGAAGTAAACTTCGAAATACGGCAAAGTTCAAATCTATTAGCTTATTTTGCACAGAATAAATATAAAACCCCACTTAAATATCAAAACAAACGTATTAAACGAATTGAAGGATAAACCAAGTGACACCTATAACATATTTAAGGTAACAGCCAGGTAGTGAGTTATGCCCTCATCTGGGATGTTCCACTCCATATTCCATCTTGGGAATGTCTCCAGGTTCTTCAACCATGCTAGACATCTTCATCAGATCCACTGTGTGAACTCAACAACCCTCTCTGACTGCCTGAATGGATTATTCTCTTCCTAATAGCATACATCTCCGTGGTGGCTTTTCACGTGTCCAGTGGCCAACAAGAGGTCCATAGTGAACCCACACACAAGAAGAGCTGAGGATGCATCTGAACCAGTGAAAGAAAGCCTTGGGAGGCAAAGGATATGGGACAGAAATAGCGTCCGTAAAAATGAAGTTGCTCTGTAGCAAAAGCAAGCAAGGCAAGACAAAACCTTTAGTTCAGCCACTGACCAGCATAAATTAACATTAGAGTGGTGAAAGATTACACCCATTCCATTCTGCAGACTATGGAAAAATAACTAAAAATTAGAATATTAGCACAGAGCTCGTATTTAGCTATCACTAAAATAAGGTTATGGAAACTACAGCATAATGATGGTCCAATACAAATGTTGATGTATAAATGCTACAGGAAAAGAATCAAAAATCAGAATTACTTACACAAGTTGTAAAATCATTGTACTGCTAAAATCGATATGTACAATTACAACTAATAGACCATCTCCTTTTCTGTGATTTTCAGAGAATGTTCTGACCTCAAACTGCCTGCAGGCACTTAGCTTGGGCAACAACATTCAAAACAGATGTATGGACCTCCTGCTCACCATTGTTCCCATTCACTATAGTGGGATGTAGTTTATTTCTGTTTACAGTGAATCTTCCAGAAACAGGGCTATATACACCAACATTTCCAAATGTTATGTACATCTGCATCTTTGTTGGTTCTCTCTTTGGATGATGAACATCTCTTTTTTTGGTTGGGAGAGCAGACGCAGAAGTATCTGCCATTCATCCAACTCTTTGGATGAATGGCTGAATCTCATTCAAGGTCTAATAGAAGAGATCAGGAAGAGAAGAGATGGACAAAAAGGTTACAGCCCATTTCCTCTTGCAGCTCATGTCAGTGTGTGTGTGTGTGAGTGTGAGTGTGTGTGTGTGTGTGTGTGTAGAGGTTACTCCTCCCTACTCCTCCATTCCAAATAAGCAATACTATACCATATCCACAATCCACAGCACCAGGTATTCCAGGCTAGAATGCAGCCAATGAATCATTGCTGCTTTATAGAAGCCTGCCAGGCATAGATCAACATCAAGGTGACACATAATCTCTAAAGAACGTGCTTCGGTTATGATGGCTTAAAGATTTTTTTTCTCTTTCTTTTCCTACCTCCTCTCCCTTTCCTGGTATTTCTTGGCAGTAAGATTTTCTGAAGGTGGCAAAATGAGTTTTCAAAATAGCTGTTCAGTGACATTTTATATGCAGCTGGAAGTATGATCAATTTGATCAATATATTTAAAGAGGGAGAGATTTTGCTATGGTTATATAGATTCTATTTCCATGTTCTATTTCCACATGATATTCTCAGTCATGGGTTTTTCATGAAGAATGAAGACCTGCATTGGCTCCTTTAATGGAGCTTTCTCAGATCAAGGATCAGCAAAGGAGGTTACAGGTTGATCCAGAGAAGTTGAGTATCAACAATGAAAGCAACAGGAGTCTCTGCCTCCTTACAGAAATATAGTCAACATAAAAAGGAATCCTTCACACTGGAAATCAGCTGTGAAAATAGAATCTCTTGCTCAGGGGAAAAATGTTTTCAAGAACCCGAAGGATGGATTTCAGCACCATTTAAACAATGACGCAGCAAGGATGAAGCATCTTTTGCTGCTTAAATCATTCAAAGGTTCAGATCTGTATTAAATGAATTTTTAAAAATAAATAGATTAAAAACGCAAGGAAATGAGCATGGATGGCAAATACAGTAGACCAAATGTGGGTCTGATATTACTGGATGGGAGATAGCAAAAGAAGAAAGGAGAAATGGATAACTGTGAAGAAGCAACCAAGAGTATTTATGTAAGGTGAGGGTCAGGCTCCCAGAGAAACAAGGAAAAACATAACTAGAATTTATATCTGTATTGTATCCTAGGAAATGGTAGCCATATAATTGATCATTTTGGGACAAGCAAGAAAGGTCGTTCAGAATTATACCTAATCAGAACTTAAACTCTTAATGTTCTCCTCCAGCATGGCCCTCTCTGACAAGTTGTCTTGAATTTCCTCTTATCTCTTGCCCTCACACTGTCTGTTGATGATGGATGTATTTTTACATTCTTGGCATTCCTGTTCTCCCATTCAGATTAAGTCCACCAAACTAGACTGTAATCTTCTAGCCATTAACTGAACCCTGATATCAGGAAAGGAGAGAAGCATTTCTTTTCTCACTCCACTTCAGTAAAAACACATTACAGTTCTATTCCATTTTACTTTGAAGTGTTTTGCTTAATAAGAATATATGTATCTTTTGCAAAGAATGAGCTTGGTATAAGTTGTAATCCATGTCACTCCCCTTATCTCCTCCCTCTAGATACACCAAGTTGAAAACTGCCACCAACATCTATATCTTCAACTTAGCCCTGGCAGATGCTTTGGCCACCAGTACTCTGCCCTTCCAGAGTGCTAAGTATCTGATGGAGACCTGGCCTTTTGGGGAACTGCTTTGCAAAGTTGTCCTCTCCATTGACTACTACAACATGTTCACCAGCATCTTCACCCTCACGATGATGAGTGTGGACCGGTACATTGCTGTCTGCCACCCAGTCAAGGCCTTGGATTTCCGGACCCCAGCTAAAGCAAAGTTAATCAATGTTTGCATCTGGGTCCTCTCCTCTGTGATTGGAGTACCTATCATGATCATGGCTGTCACTAAATCTGAAGGCAAGTGGTCTACCATTTAATTCCAGTGGCTTCCATAAGGCCACCCAGTCTGGGCAATGGGATTCCCACTGCTAAATTGACACAGACCTCTGGGCTACAAGTACTTTCTCTGTCCTGTAGTAGCGAAGGAACCTATATTCAGTTTATCTCACAGGGGTGATTACATTATATAGGAAACAGGCTTACTTATGTAGCTACTAAGAAGGAATGTCCATATTTCATTAAAAAGATAGGATTGCAAATAACAGCCATACATGTACTGGCTTGAAAATATTATCAATAATTCTACTGTCATTCATTAACCCTGTTCACACAACATATTGAACTGGGTTGTTGGGTAGGGATAAGAAAATCATACAAGCTCCAAATCCCAGCCAATTAACTCAGGTAGAAAATGTAGCTCTACCCTAACCCTAACTCTAGGCTTATTTGGGGCTAAACTAAAGCCTCCCTGGTCCCATACAAGCTACTAACTTGACAGTTAGCTGTCCCTTCTGACCACTGAAACAAAGTCCTAGAGAAGCCCTGTGAAAACACAATTGCTCTAGGCACTCCATCTCTGTGATTGGTTTGCTTTGTACCTTCTCTCACCCCTCCATCCACAATGAGGAATGACGAAGAGTGGAAATGATGGGAGTGTGCACATCCCCCTTCCTATTTAAAAAGGCAGGAATTTGGAAGGAAGAGATAGCTTTCCAACCTCCTTGTAGTGCCTGGGAAGACTAACAGCATGGTTAGTCATCCTGGATTGTGTCCTGCCAGCACATAAAGGCAAGTTAATTGACTAGGAATATATTCCCAAACTCCCATGAGCATAACCAGTAGTCGTGGATAGGTTGTTGTCCAAAATGTCTGGAGGTATCCAGATTTGGAAAGGATGAGATCCATTCTTGGAGATGCCAAAGATTGAATTTGGACTTTTTGGCATGCCAAAAAGGGGCTCTACCATGCAGTGATGGCCTATCTGCGAGAGAATAGCTTAACTGTTGGCCACTGAGCTATGGTCCTTCTCTTTGTTCACCTATCATCTCTGTACTCTTCTTCCTTTTATGCAGGTGGCATTATGATCTGTCTCCTTCAGTTTCCTGAACCTCAAATTTACTGGGATACTGTTACCAAGATTTGTGTTTTTATCTTTGCTTTCTTGGTTCCCATCTTGGTAATCACCATCTGCTATGGGCTTATGATTCTCCGCTTGAAGAGCGTCCGTCTCCTCTCAGGTTCCAAGGAGAAGGACCGCAATCTGCGCCGTATTACACGCATGGTGCTAGTTGTGGTAGCAGCCTTCATCATCTGTTGGACTCCCATCCAGATCTTCGTCATTGTTTGGACTCTGGTTGGCATTGACAAGAAGAACCCCTATGTCATGGCCAGCCTGCATTTTTGTATTGCCCTGGGCTATACAAACAGCAGCCTCAACCCTGTCCTTTATGCTTTCTTGGATGAAAATTTTAAGAGATGTTTTAGGGAGTTCTGCCTCCCATTCCGATCACGGATGGAGCAGAACAGCTTCAGCCGGGCCCGGAACACCACTCGAGAACGTGTTTCTACCTGCACTCCATCTGAAGTTCTTCATAAGTCAGCATGACTAGACATGGATAGCCACAAAAGAGGCTTCAACAGGGGATGCAGAGGAGAAGAACTGCACTCTGAAGTGACCCAGGTCACCACCACAGAATTCTAGCCTGTACTAATGCAGGAGCTGTTCAGAGAAAGGCACCACCACAAATTTTGTGAACTTTTCAGAGTAATTTAGGGCATCACTCTCCAATCTGATGCATTGGGACTGCAATTCCCCAAATTCCTAATGAGCACCTCCTACATACATGGAGGACTACATATTTGAGGAAAGCCACACTAAGGTTTTTTCCCCCATTCTATACATGACAAGCCAAATTTTGGTTCCCCAAAAAGCAACTGCTATATGGCTGCCAATTTCTAAGGAAACCTTTAATTTTTGAATGAATTCTCAAAGAGGCATTAAGTGAATGCTGTGTATGCGTGCCCATTCCTGCACACATGTACACATACATTTTTGGATTTCAGAAATCAATAGCTCCAAATGATTTGAAGAATTCACAGCATATATTTTTGCTTCACTGAAGATATTTTTACTTTAGCGTTACCAATTAGTGTCTGGTCAATTGCTTCCCCCTTCCCTTTCTCACTAGTTACATGCATTTTACAAACCAGTATCGGAATCATCTTTAACATGTTATGGCTCAATGGAAGTATCCAAAAATAACTAAATATACATTAAAAAGCCATGCATCTTTAAACCAAACCTTCTAGTGGCTACAAAATTCAATTATTCATTCAGAGAAAGGAATAGTAGCCTTTGATTTGTAAAGATGGAGTACTGAAATCATTGCAACTGTAGAAACCAGGAAAATGATGGACAGAAGATACAAATTTTTACCATTAGTGACTTAATCTCCATGTAATCAGTGTTACCTGGCAATGCAGGTTAGATTCTTGTGGATTTTCATGCCTTGTCCAATGGTGTTCCTTCTATATTGTTCTCAAAAGGTCAGAAAAAGAAGGAAACCATAATTCTATAAAAAGAGTTGGTTTTCTAGTTCCAGGGAACTATGAACTCTAGAAGGAAACAAATAAACTGAACATTGGAAACCAACTAAAACATTTCATCTTGGGCTCCCTATGATCAGTGGCAAGTGACCTCATTGCAGAGTCTCATTTTCCTCATTGCTCCACTGTCACAAAGCAACATAAATGATGGAGACTACACTTTCAAACCAGGGTCTTGAACAGCACAAAATCCTTCCTTGTAAACATCTCTTGGGTGTTTTCCTTACTATTCTGACATATGTACCTCTGAAGGCTCTGCTTCATTTTGGTACATCTGCTCAGGAACTCTAGCATGGAACAAAGGTGCAACCAATTGTTCTTCACTGTAGATATGAACCTTTACCAATACTCCAGTGTTACTCCGAAGGCAGTTCCTATGAGCAAGCTTGGGCCTTAGGCAATTGAGACTGCACAAGGCCACAACTGAAAGATTGCAGATGGACTCATGTTCTGCTTGACAACTTCCTCGAGGCATCTAGTTGGCCACTGTGAAAACAGAATGCTGGACTGCATAGGCATTTAGTCTTGTCCAGCAAAAATGTTGACCACATTTTTAGATTGCTTAAGTGTTGGGTGTTCAGCCACTTCTGTATTGCTATTGATTATTGCCTTACCCTCATAGAAGCTGCAAGTCAGGTGGCCCTTTGCTTTCCCCATGCAATCTCTAATCCATTTAGGGCATATTGTCTGGAATAGGGGTTGATGTGAAATCATATGTCAAGTTAAGGAGGATTCATATTTCAGTGACATAATGGGCTCAATAAAATGGGGTCAATGAATTATGAGGTGCTTCTTTTTTATTAGGGTGGTCAGAAATGGGCTTCAGTATTTTTCTTTCAGTTCTCATTGAATTTGATAAAAGAGAATTTGCTTTAAAGTTATTTCAAAGGAGTTTGCAGAAACTCATGAGTGGAATGTGGTGTTTTTGCATAGATTTAGTTCCAAGGCAACCAAGGGATCTTCTCTCTAATGGTCTGCAACCTTCTCAGTTTCCTGCACTTTAATTAAATCCCAAGGGAAGAATCCAGGCGGGAACTCCTGCCATCAGGCTTTTTTCAGGAATGCTGCAGATTATCACTGCTAAGGGGGAGTCCTGCCTTTGAAAGATGGTTGGAGGATTTCTCTTCCCCTTGCAGAAATCTGGAAAGTTGGATCAGACTACAGCTTTGGTGCAAAATTTCCAAGGACCCTATGCTCTCAGTCTTAACTTCATATCCCAGGACTTGGAATAGCATCTCAGGATCACAAAGCAGAGCAAAACTATTTGCGGAGTTTAGGGGAAGGATTCTGCAAAATGCTAAGAAATGCCTCCCTTCTTTGTAGTTTTCACCCCCTTCAAAACTATTTGTTAACTTTGGCCTCACTCATAATTGTCCTCAGTTGCCTCCAGTGGCATTAAGGTACCAATCTGATTGCACTGGGGTGTTATCCTGTTCACAGAATGTTTTCAGACCGCAATGATCTCCAAGATAACTAGTAATAGTAACAGCGATTAGAGAGGACAGGTTATGACCCTAAATGACATTATAGAATGGATTATTGCCTTACGTGCACAGAAAGTAGATCCGTGCTCCCGCATGCAATGTCTCATCCATTTAGAGCACACTGCTTGGAATAGAGTTTGATGTGAAGGTACAAAGGAAAGCAAGGTGGGTTCATATTCCAGGATCATGTACCTCAATAAAAAGGCATAGAACAACATGATGTTCCTGGAGGAGAGAAAGTATTCTACGAAATCAGGAAGTTTCCATTTGAAAACCAAAACTGGGGAATATTTAATTCAGCTCTAGCAAATGAAAACAAGTGTTTAATTACCAAGCTTAATAGAAATCACAAATGACTCCAGAAATCAAAGGTTTGGGGTTTTTTTTAAATCAACATGAAAGAAAATAAAACTGGCAGGTTTGTCTGTTCTTCCTGTAGACATTTTCCAACCAAGATAAGCTGAAAGACTAAATGAGCAAGCTGACTAAAAAGAATATGAAAATATTCAGTAAGGTAAAGTCCCCTTCCAATCAAGCTTAATTCCTGGTGACTTCAGGGGTATATCCATGAATGTTCTTGGAAATAATACAAAATTGTTTTGCCATTATATTGTTTTGAGATTTGCCTTTAATTCTCAGTCTAGCTGACCCTGGTATGTCCTAACCTTTTCCCAGCCAAGTACTAACCAGATATGATCCTATATAGACTTTTTTTTGACCAACCAAGGTCATTTAGATGTCACCACTCATGTCAATAACATTCAGACAATATAGAGGTGAGGTTCATTATCCTGAGATTTCGTTACCAGAATAAAAAAGAAATGGAAGTGGGGGGGAGATTAAAATGTGTAAAGTAAGCAACCTCAGAGCACACTTTGTCAACACAATCCAGTGCGTGTTTTAACTCACTGAGCAAAATGAAGTCCACACCCTAACATGGGCTTTGCCAACATCTTGGAAAAAGTAATGGCAAAATACTTCTGTACTCCTGCCAAGAAAACTTTATGGTTGTGTCCACATGGTCACATGGAGTCAATTTCAACTCAAAGGTGTTATTACCTTTTCAAGAGCAGTATTGTCCATTACTGCAGATTTACAGCAAAGCTTTTCAATTTTGTCAACCAAGATGGGGGAGGGAGGGGGTACTGGAGGACAAAGAACCAACCAACACCCATATTTCCTCTTTTTTGTTGCTACTGCTACACAATTTACCCTGAATCTCCAGCCTCCTGCTGTTCTGAGTGGCTTGGTTTTCTCCAGAAGAAAGAGAATGTGTGTTCCACCAAAACTGTGAAGATCAGGAAAAAGGAACAGGAGTGATGTTTGAGATTGATTGGATCATGGTAAAGGAATACTTATGACTTTAAATTTTCAGGGCTGGAGGAACTGGATATGAGAGCACTGAAGAAAACTGCTGATGATCTGGCAAAAGTTTTATGAATAATTTTTGAGTAATCCTGGAAAATGGCTGGTGGGGAGGGGGCAAATCAGTCTGACATTGATCCCTGGGGAGATTCTAAAGCAGATCATAAAGCCCAAAAACATACATAAGCACCTCAAAAACAAATGATTACCAGAAGTCAGCATGGATTTCTCCTGTCAGAGTAATCTGAAAGGTGGATAGAATGGCAATTGAGCAAATACTGTATTCAAAGAATACACATTAACAATTCTTCAACAAGTCGGGGTGATAACAAGTAGGGGTACTATAAAGTTCGGTCTGGTCTCTGTTATTTTCAACTTTTTTATTAATAATTTGGATGAGGAGGTGGAGAGAAAATTTGCATCGACACAAAACTGGGTGGGATAGCAAATCCCTAGAGAAGAGAAAAACCATTCAAGTGATCTTGAAGGGTCAGAAAAATGGGATGAACATAATAGAGACAAATGCAAAAATTATGCATTTAAAAAGCAGAAATCAAATACACAGTATTGAACAGGAAATAACTGGATTGATGATAGAATTTTTCTTTTCACAAGAACTAAGTAAAAGAAACAAGGAAGGCAATGAGGAGGGTAAAGAACTAGAAAAAAAAATTCCTATGAGTAGGGGTTGACAATAATAATAATAATAATAATAATAATAATAATAATAATAATAGTGCAAAAGAAAGCAAAGATAGTACCAATAGTAACAGGTGCTTTGGGTGCAATCCCAAAACCTCTGGAGCACCACTTGAACACCATCTTGGCATTGACAAAATCACCATCAGCCAATTGCAAAAGGCAGCTTTACTTGGAACAGCTTCCATCCTGCGACGATACCTTGAACACCATCAAACAACATCTGCCTATCCCAGGTCCTTGGGAAAGACTCAATAGGTATAAATAAAAAGGCCAAATCCAGTCTAAACATCTGGCCGATTGTGCAACCAACAATAAATTAAACTTGTATGCTATCCAACTCTCAACAGCCCTATATTTAGTCTTGAGAAGAGTGAGGGAGATAGAATAGCATTCTACAAATTCTTGAAAGGTTATCACACGCAGAAGGCAATGACCTTTCCTTATCATC